GCTGCTGCTCACATGTCCTGTTCCCTTTGGAAATATGTCCTTTGGAGCAAGAACGTGATGCTGTCCTTCCAACTTCTCACTGCCAGGACAGAGCACGAAACCCACACACCAGCCTCTAATGTGGTGGGCATGCAGCACGGAAAGCAAGCAGGCGCTGCGGCAGCGGGTTCTGCAGACAGCAGCAGTCCAGTGAAGAAAGGCTAACCGCTCGTCACCTTTACAGCCCAGTCTTCACCAGGAGTAGCTGCATCACATAGGTAGAGCTCTGAGATTCTTGAAAGTAAGAATCTAGCCCTATTTGAAGTAGAAATTTGAAAACAATTAGGAATCCCTTCTGTTTTCCAAATCCTTAAAGGTCAGCTAAAACCTCCAGTCCCCAGGAGGCCCACCCGACTGAGCAGCAACAGCAGTGGCAATGGCATTTTCTGAACTCGGGACATTCACAGACACCACAGCCCGCCAGCTGTGAGCACCACTGCTAGACAAACACCACCCCTCCCATCCACACACACCTACTGGGACAGGGCAGTGAGTGACACTCAGGGAGCTTGGGTTTTACGAGTGGTGTGGACCATGATGGCAGACGGTGTGAAGTCTGTAGAATAAACTATCACACCAACAGGGCAGCGCAGCTGATGGGGCTTCCTGGGAACTGCAGGGGTCAGAGAACCTTAGGGAAGGAGGAGACCCTGGAATTGACACAAGAGCTCCGAGGTAGGAAAGAGCTTGACTTTATTCTCAGCAAGGGAGAGGCGGCAGCAGATGCAGTAGGTGAAGCACAGGGATAGAGGGAAAGACAGCCACAGAGCAAGCAAGAGGGGGCCACAGACACCTGGTCACTCAGGCCCTGGGAAATGACAGCAAGGAGTGCAAGGCTTCAGCAGAATGCACTTGGAAGGCACCGAAGAGTTCTAAGGAGAAGCATGAACTGCATGGTCTTGTGACCTTTCCTAAGTTGTATTATGCTGTCCACTCCTTTCGCTGTCATTAACCTTTCAGGTTTATGTTGCCCCAAATCGACCCCCAGCTGCACAGGTGGGGCAGCAGCACTTCCTTCTCTTCCTCACAGTGCCTAGCATACCATCATATACCAAAATGACACTTGATGCTTATCTAACACACAAATGCACACACAGACACACCCACATGCACATACACATGGGCACACACATACATATACCCACATGTATACACACACGCACATATGCACACACACACACACATACATCCATATACACACATACATACATTGTTTATTTGCTCAAAGAACTTATTTATATTTTAAGAATCTGCTACAACAATCATTTTTCTATAATGTTGAAATTTGCCAAAAGAACCATTTCTCCGTAATGTAATTGTAGCAGTTTTCATCACTGATTGGAATATAATGGAAAAATACAACACTGAGAATTAAAAGCTTAATTGATAGAAACACATGTTTATCTATCAGTAAAAAGAATTTGGCTGTGCTCTTCCTATCAACACAAAAGCAAGCAAATTAGCTATTTGATCCAAGAGGAAGGAAGCTCCTTCTAATTAAGAAAAGGCAGAGAGAGGCCCCAGGCACCGGCCAGCACCAACCTAAGACGGGCCCCTTCTGCGCCTATCCGCCGCCACCTACTGGACAGCTGAGGGCAGAGCGCAATGCAACGTGCAGGGTCTGAGGCTTCTGGGGGTCAGGAAACTGGTCCATGTAAATGAAATTGACGCAAGACAATTCGTGTATATGAAGAGAAAACTCATAAAGGATTCAGAAATAAAAGTCTTTTTTCAGACTCGTTAGAAGTTTAAAAAAATGCCTACTTGAGGATTTTTTGATTTGGGGAGGGGAGTTTATGGAATAAGATGTGCAACATGATGCTTTGATGTACACACACAGCGAAGTGATTACTACAGTCAAGTGAATTACAGTCTGGCATCTCACACAGTCACCGTCCTTCATTCTGCACGTGCTGAGAATTCCTGAATTTACTCCCTTAGCACATTCCCAGTGCACAATATACTACCGACTGCAGTCCTCGTGGTATACATTAGATCTCGAGACTTACTCATCTGAAATAACTGCATCTTTATACCCTTTGACCTAAAAAAGAAGAGGTACTGGTTGAAAGAAAACTGAAGATTCTAAAGGCAAAATGTATTATTCTACCATTTCAAGAAAAATATTTAGAATGAAAAAAAGACTAAACTTTTTCTCCAAATAGAGTTAAAGCAGAATAATAAATCAAAACTATGGAATAAAGATCAAACAAAACCAGAGGCAAGAAGAATACCCAGAGAGAATGGCATTCTGGAAAACAAGACTCCAGCCATTTTCAGGGGCAAGTGCGCAGCAGTGGCAAGAAAGGGGTTCTGAAGAATGGACATGAAACAAAGCAATGTGAGGTCACTGGTACCCTCAGCAAGAGCCTTTACAGACCCGAGGACACTGAGGCAGAGCAGAAGGGAGGAAATGGAGGCATTTCTCAATTGAAGACATTTGGGCATATTTAAAAGCCAATGGGATAAGATGGATGACTGTGAGAGGCAGACTGACCCAACAAGAAGACAGAGGGCTTCTGTGAAGCTGCTGAGGAGGTAGGAGGGGAGAGCTCCAAAGCCCAGGTTGGTCTAGCCCCACAGCCAAGCAACCCATCAGTCACACAGGGCCCCATCTTCAGAGGGGCCCCACCTTTGGTTTTATGCCCTGTTGTCACCATCTTGAAATTCTTAATAATTTTTGAACAAGGGGTCCCACATTTTCATTTTACACTGGGCCTCTCAAATTATGTAGGTGGTCTTGGCCGGGGAGAGGCTGGCCTGAACCCAGGAAAGGGCAGCTCTGCTACCACAGTGGTAGGAGGGGGATAGAGAAGTAGGGTCAATGCCATCTGCTAGCTTATTTTCCTGCAAAACCGGAAGAAAGCTGTCTGCTGTGAATGAGCCAGGGACAGACAAGGGGAGAGAGATTAGAACTTCATCTAACATGGAGATTTCTGGTAGACTTCACCTTAACCAAGTGATAAGGCTGGTATCACTGGTAACAAGTCAAATCAATACCACATACCTCCTGGTAGGATGCACTATGAAGGGCACAGATCACTTTTGTGCTAGTTCCTATTCTATCAACACACACTACACCTCAATATAATCACAGAAAACCCAATGTGAGAAAATTCTAAAAATAGTAGACTAGTACTCTTGAAAAGTGTCAATGTCACAAAAGATAAGGCTGAGGAACAGTCAGATTGGAGAAGACTAAGCAGAAGTGACAATTAAATGCAGTGTGGAATCCTGCATTATCCTGGAGCAGAAAAACGACATTTAAGAAACCTAGTGAACTTCAAATAAGGTGTGTAATGAGGTTAATGTAATAGTACTGCATTAACACTAATTTCAAAGTCTTGGTCATCGTGTTATGGTCATGTAAGATATTGAAATTAGAGGCAGCTGGATAAAAAAGTATATGGAAACTCTTTTATTCAACTTTCCTGTAAGTCTCAAATCATTTCAAAATAAAACGCTTACATTTCATGTGGACTTTTCATTAGTAATTCCGGGACCCTCAGTTACTACCCCTGAAGTCTAGCCTACTGAATCAGACATGTTCCTCAATACATAGAGTCAGAAACTGCTATGGTTTGGATTTGTGTCTCCACCCAAATCTAATGTCGAATTGGAATCCCCAGCGTTGGAGGAGGGGCCTGGTGGGAGGTGATTAGATCATGAGGGTAGACTTCCCCCTTGCTGTTCATGTGACAGTGAGTTCTCACGAGATCTGGTTGTGCAAAAGTGTGTAGTAACTCCCTCTGCTCTCTCTTTCTTCAGCTCTGGCCATGTGAAGATGTGCCTGCTTCCCCTTCACCTTCCACCATGATTGTACGTTTCCTGAGGCCTCTGCAGCCATCCTTCCTATACAGCCTGCAGAATGATGAGCCAATTGAACCTCTTTTCTTTATAAATCACGCAGACTCAGATATTTCTTTATAGCAGTACAAGAAGGAAATAATACAGAAATAAAATGGAAAGATTACATTCCACTTAAAATATCTGGCTTTGGCCAGGCATGGTGACTCTTGCCTGTGATCTCAGCACTTTGGGAGGCCAAGGCCCTCTAGTGGATCACTTAAGGAGTTCAAGACCAGCCTAGGCAACACAGTGAAACCTCCCCTCTACAAAAATTCAAATTTGAGCCCAGCATGGTGGCAGATCCCTATAGTCCCACCTACTCAGGAGGCTGAAGTAGGAGGATCACTTGAGCCTGGGAGGTCCAGGCTCCAGTGAGCCATGATCACCCCACTGCACTCAAGCCTGAGTGACAGAGCAAGACCCTATCTAAATAGGTTGGTTTTGAACGAACTTGGCTTTGAACAGGTGCCCAGCTTCAAGTTTCTATCGTGCTGCCCCCTTACCACTGCATCATTGCCTGTCACAGCCTGCCAGGCCCCACATGTCTCTATCCAGTGAGTGCATTAATTAAGCCTTTACAAGTGTGCTAAGCATCTGTGAGACTACACGGGTTCCAAGGACTATTACGCATTTCCTTTCTCTATTTTAATTACTTTTCTTATGAAAGCTTACAAATTGGCAGCAAATCCAGGTCAGACATTGTTCTAGAAAAATCAGGATTTACATCTACCCACACCTGGGACCAAACTCACTTCAGGTAACCTTTTGGAATGGGTTATCAAGCCAATCTAGGGCCATTGCTCTGTTGCCACCCAGGGGCAGGTGGGCGCCATGGTACCTGGATAGGGAAAGAAAAGCCCAGAGGAAGAACCTGGCTCTGCATAGGACATGTCCTCTGGAATTCAAAGGCAGGAGAAGGCAAGGGAGAAGTACTGTACCCACTCACCACAGTATGCAGGAGTACATTGTAAACACGATTCTTGGGAAGGCAGGTATTAAAATAAATAGGTTACATGTATAATGTATTTCCTCAGACCGAGGACTCTTCCAGGTACTAAAGAGATGTTATAGGCACCCAACGGACAGAGCCAGGCACCAGATTCTAGGCTTACCTGCTTTGGGTCAGAGGTGGCAGTACCGGGAGCCGGCGATTCTAGCTCTATGGTCACAGGCCCATCGTTCTGAATGTGCACCTGCATGTAGGCCCCAAACTTGCCATCTGAAAAAGCAATCCAAACAGTTATCAAAGATGGAGACCCCAGATTACTCTATCCAAAAACACACTGTATTAGTTCATTTTCACGCTGCTAATAAAGACATACCCAAGACTGGGCAACTTAACAAAAGAAAGAGGTTTAATGGACTTACATTTCCTCATGGCTGAGAAGGCTTCACAATCACAGCAGAAAGCAAAGAGAAGCAAGTCAGATCTTACATGGATGGCAACAGGCAAAAAGAGCGAGCTTGTGCAGGGAAACTCCTGTTTTCAAAACCATCAGATCTTGTGAGACTTATTCACTATCATGACAACAGCACAGGAAAGACCCACCCTCATGATTCAATTACCTCCCACCAGGTTCCTCCCACAAAACGTGGGAATCGTGAGAGTTACAATTCAAGGTGAGATTGGGTGGGGGCACAGCCAAACCATATCACACACCTAGATCAGCATGATACAAAACCTGGGTCACACTGGAGAAGGAGGTTGACTGGGAGGAGGATCGGCCAGTCAATACAGGAAAAGCTGGCCAGCCCTGTAAGGAGGGATGGAAATGCAGGATTAAACAGCACAGATGCTGCTGCATGCCCAACAGAATTGGCTAGAAATAAAAAGTCTGGTAACACCAAGGGTGGGAAAGAATGTGGGTTACCGGAACTGTATGTTTTGGGAAGGCAAACACAGAGCATTCTGGAAGGCCATGTCATGTTTGCATTTTATGCAATAAAACCCTCCATCTCCCTCCATGGAAGGTGCTGCTCTTGGGCCTGCTGGGACACAGGCAGGCCTCACACCCTGAGCTTCTTCTGCAACGTGGGTGACCACCATAAGTCTCTGTTCCTGCCACCATTACCTCACAAATTCCACCTCTGAGTCTTTCCTACCAGTGGTCCTTTGGAAGGACTCAGCAAAATGAGCATGCCAACAGATAGCTTTCTTTGGCCTACAGATAGTAACACTGGAAATTGTATTAGAAGCACCCAAGCCATAGGCCATGTTTATTAGCAAGATTAATCTAGATCCTACTGGGAGGGGTGCTCAAATAATGATGACTTTCTGTGACCTCCTACCAGCTTACAGTGGCGTTCAAATCAATAGAGCTTTTGTCTCATTCATGTCAGACTAACCAAAAAACATCAGCTGGGAAGGAAATCATGTGTTTAATTGCATGCTAAAATTACGGCTACAATTAGTAGAAAATTTCAGGCACTGCACTCCTCAGGGAGGCTGAAGGCAGGCTCAGGAGGACAGGAATTATTTCCAACCTTGAATTTCTATTGCCAGGATATACAGCATATGTTTCACCTTGTTTATCATTCCAAGTAGCAAGACATTTATTTTCTTTTCCTGTTTTTCTTCAGTTAAGAATAGAACAATTATGTGAATTTCCATCTGTACAGATGATAAATCCAAAGACATGTTTTAAGAGATCTTAAAATGGTAACATTTTTTCCAGTTCAGATTAAAGGGTAAAGGTCCCAGGAAGAATTATGCTAGCCAGGGAAAATAAACACATTAAACACACATACACACACACAAGCATATCTATAAAATGACATCTGGGCTCCTATGGTGATATGATCAAGTTGTTCTTAAATATTAAGTCCCAGCATTCTTTCTACCCAGAGCTGCAGGTTAAGCACATGTTAAACATGCTTGTGCTGTATGTTTAAAGCAGGCAAACTCTCAGCTACAGCCTAACCACCCATGAACTCAACTCCAGCAGAACTTTCTAAGGCCCTGACAGCCACAAACCAGAGTGCCTCACTGCAGATTCCCTGTGTAGCTGCAAAAACTGGTGTCCATGCCCCTTTGGACAATGTTTCACTGACTTTCGCCACTGGCCAAGAAGGCTCGCACCACCTCTCTGTGCCCCAGTTTGTTCTGGCACAGGACAGTTGTCCTGGGGTGGTTACAAGGGTGCACATAGGTTAGTGTACAGCTCAGCACAGTGAGTGTACAGGAAATCATAGTCATTATTATTATTATTATTATTATTATTATTATTGTCATGCCTACCACTGACCATGCTAGTATATGAGCAAATTGCAGGGATGGGACAGAAAAATATTATGCCAAAAAAGTATGCTATGAAAGAAAAATGGGGAGAACAAAAGGCATGCGCCATTGCTTCTTGGCCTGGCTGGGAGCAAGTCCATATTCTCTGCTCTCCAGAGCTTGCCCTGTGTGGCCATGACTGGATTGGAGCTCAGCCGACCTCTGGGGACCAGTATGGGACATGGCACTAGACACTGACCATCAGGCCAGGCCATCTAAGCACATCCCCTAAAGGCAGTTATCTGCCACCAAGGAGGCATTCTCACCCCAGGCTTCCTCTTCATTCTACTTTCAATCTGTTCAGCACATGAGCAGGCAGGAGGCTGTTACTGATAGAAACCCCAACAGTGTGTTACAGGCTGGGACACCAAGAAATAAAGCATATGAGTGGCATTGAGGGGTTCAAAATAAGCCTGGGGCCAGGCTGGAGCCACCACCTGCTAGAGGAGTTTGATCTGGATGTGCAGGATTGTGCCTACAGACTTTGGGAGTGTGACTCTGGAAGCCACTAGCATCCATGGTGGCTATGTCCTGCAGTACAGAGCTGCTTCTACAGAGACAGGAGTGTTCTTTGGCATCCTCAGTGCCCCAGAGGCTGGGCCAGTGCCAGTGAACCACCACTGGGACAACACAACAGCAGACGCCTGGCTCAAGGGTGCCTGGAAAGCTGAGTCAAGGGCTCTGGGGGTGTTGACAGAGACCAGTAGCTCTGGGAATGATATGTCCTAAGTGACTTGGTGATTAAAAGATCTGTTTTGTCAGCAAACGGGCACATTACAGGCCCTTTGGGCCCTGGCAGTTGATTTTCTCACAGTTTGAGGGCTAGGCCTAGGTCTGACTCCAGGCCACACTCAAGGCCATGGAGGGAAATGGAAAGGCAGACCTGGGCTATTGTGGCTTCTTCTCAAGCTCTGGGCTCCCCTTATCAGCATTCTCTGCTTGGCTCTGCAACTGCCCAGAGGTAGTGTCTACATCTGAGGGGGCCATTCATTTATTGGAAGCAACTGTCTCAAGCCTGGAACTTTGTAGCAGAAGTACTGAGGGACCCAATACCTAATTATGGAAAATGAGCGCACCTTTCACTAATAGGGCTATCATCAGTTCCAAACTAAAGAGTGTCAAAACCAGGAGAAGAAACAAACATTAAAATGGTAAATGCCTAGGACCAAAATTAACCTTTAGCTAGGAAGTTAAATTCCCAACCATGCCTACATCCCGAGGTCACAAATTCAAGACAATTAAGGAGCCTTCTTGCATAATAGGAGATCCAAAGCAAGGAATTCCCTGATTATCAAACTTTGCTCTGACATTTCTGGGCTCTGCTGTGGTCCTTGATATTACTCTACCTGGGATAACTCTGCAGGATTGAAGGCTGTCTGTTTGCCTAACTGAGGCTCAAGGAAGCCTGTGTGGGGATGATGCAGTGTTGAGGCCCCCAAAGGACTTACAAGGACGTCTATATGACACATCTCAGACACAGCTTGGACAAGGCTGCTGCATGAACCCAGACTCAATCATGCATGGACACCCATCCACAAAAAACAGCAGGGGAGGTGGCTTCTGAGCTCATGAGGTCATGGGACGTGATTTCATGTCTTCCTTTGGTCTTCAAAGCTTTGGATTTGATTACAAAATTAATCTTGGCCTGTAATTTCTCCCTGGGACTGTGATAATGGGAGAGGGTCTGTCTGCATTCAAATCCAGTACATTTCCATGTTGCTGGCATTTTATTATGAGTTTCTTATGCATTTGCAGTATATTGTCACCCAACCTCACGGCAGGAGCTCTGATGTGCTGGGCTGGGCATTGTGGCTGGACATGGCTTGGGAAACAGCCTAGGGAATATGTCTTCACCTTAGGAGCAGAGTGGCCTTTGAAGGGCTTCACAGCAGGGTTCTGACCCAGGTCAGAGCCTCCAAGGACAAAAGACCCAGCAGGAGCAGCCTAACAGAGGCTCCAAGGTAGACTGATCTGAGTTGATGAGGCTTCCGTCCCTGACAGGGCAACCCCATGGCCAGAGTGAGCATCTGCTCAGAACCAACCTCCATCAGCTCCTGTCACCCTCATGACAAGAGCCATAGAGCCACAGTCCCCGGAGTGGCATGCCCTCTCTCTATTGTGCATGCTCTTTTTCTGTCTCTACACACACACATACACACACACACACACACACACACACACGCATAGTTCTTCTTGTAATTGTTGAGAAGTGAGGCAAAGTGATCCCTGTAAGTTTTCCTAACTTAAAAGTATGTTATTACAGTACCATAGGATAAACATAGGATATAGTACTACATAGGATAAATGTCTATGGGGGAAGTGGCTCATTCAGGCTGCTGTGTTGGATGTAGCCTGAAAGGAGACCCAGCTGGAGGCAGGAGGCCCATTAAGAGGCTGTCACAATGATTTAGATGAGAGATGCAGACAGCCTGGGCCAGGGTGGGTGCAGAAGTGCGTTCTGTTCTCAGCATCCGTGTGCATGTCCCAGGTGAGGCTAACAGGATTTGCTGATGGACCAGATGTGAGGAGGAGGAGCCATCCCAGACTGCGAAGTTTCAGCCCGTAAGTGCATTTATTAAAAAATAAGACTAAAATGGAATGAAATAAGGAACCAGGAAAATAAACCAAATAAATCACACACTCATTAAAGTGAAGAGAGTGAACATTAAAGCAAAACGATGAAATGACAAAAAAAACTAAAAACGTTGATTGAGAAAAGGGGGGAAATACAACCAAACCACATGAGAAAGTGAATGTGACTCTAGATATAGAGACCTTTCAGAATCATTTTAAACATCAGATAAAATTGTCTTCCAATAGACCAGAAAATCCAGCTATGAAGGAGCTGACAGGTAAAATTCGCTGCCCAGAGGAACTTGAGGGCTGTTGGGAAACTGACCAGAGCAACAGCCAAGGAAGCTGGCCCAAAGAGATCACTAGCA